TATATATATATATATATATATATATATATATATAACAAAATATATAAAATATTCGCTGACAAGTTTTAAATAACCAGCATCATAAAGAAATTTGCGAAAATCTTAATGAATTAATTTAAGATAACTATAACTCAAACAAAAACTTAAGAGCATAGTGAAAATAAAATTGGGAAAATCTGCTAGCTTATTGAACGGTAAGATGCGAAACGTCCAATCTTGTGAAAAAATTTGATTTATTATTTAGCCATTAAATAAAGTTTTATTCATTCTTGATTAAGCTATATACAATCGAAATTTTAAGTTTCATTTCTTTGTTTGTTTGAATCAACTAGCGTCCCTCAAACAGCTATTTAGCACGGTAACCGAATTTTTCCTTTGAGTTTCTTCGCTTTTGAAATGGCAGCTATTTCCTCTTGGGTTGCGGATAGTAATGTAAAAGAACATGCCTCTCTTGTTTCTATCGCAAAATTGGCTGAACAGGCAGAGCGATTTGAGGATATGGCTGTTGCCATGAAAACCATTGCTGAAATGGGCAATGAACTCAACAACGAGGAACGCAACTTGCTCTCGGTTGCTTACAAAAACGTTGTCGGAGCCCGACGTTCTTCATGGAGGATCATGTCCAGCATCGCTAAGAAACAGGCTGGTACTCCTATCGCCGAACATACTAGCACCTACATTAGTAAGGTCGAGGAAGAACTTACGAAGATATGCAACGATGTTTTGGTAAGAATATCTTAATAACTTATAGTTTATTTTTTCAGTCCCTTCTTAAAGACAACCTTATTACTGACAAAATTAATGCGGAGGCTAAAATCTTCTACTATAAGATGATGGGTGATTATTATCGTTATTTGGCTGAAGTTCAGGAAGGTGAGGCCAATGATAAATCGACGGCAGCTGCTGAGGAAGCATACCAAAAGGCAACCTCTCTTGCAGAGCAGGAACTTTCGGTGACTCATCCCATCCGACTTGGCCTTGCCCTAAACTTCTCTGTTTTCTACTATGAAATTAAGAATATGCCTGAAAAGGCGTGTAGCCTTGCCAAGGTTGCATTTGACGCTGCTATTGCTGAGGTTGACTCGATCAAGGATGAAACCTACAAGGACAGCACCTTGATCATGCAACTTTTGCGCGATAATCTGACGGTAAGCTGAATTTTTCATGTCTTAATATCTTACTTCTTTTTTATTTTCTTTTTTCTTTCAGCTCTGGAACTCCGAATGCGATCCTGAATAATTTTGACCCCTTCCCAAACTTTGTGTGTGTTTCCAATTGAACAACAACAACAAACTAACATTGGTTGCGTTGGTTTCATTGTTTCGCTTCATCTTGTAAAACTACTACTATATTCTATACCCAAATCCCTTTTTTCGTTTTTTCCAAAGGCGAGCCCACTACAGGTTCTCCCACCTCTGAACATGTTTTAGTTCATGTTATCTAGTTTCTGCTTCCTATGAATGTTACGCAATAGTTCACACGTATGAATCACCCGTATGCAATGGTAGGTGGGCGCTGTTTGTGCAATCAGGCAAATTTCTTATGCTTCTGTCACTTCAGGTCTGTCGTGTTGCTTGTAGTAATTTTTGTATTAATTATGCGTACGTTGTGAAGTACCTATTCTGTGTATTTAGTTAGATTGATTAAATTTATCGTAGTTCCTAGAGTATCTGCTGTGTAAGCGCGATTAGGTTTGTTTTTTTGGGGGCGGAGTTTTCCGAATGGGGCAAGATTTAAAGCAGTGGGCTCTTAGTGAAGTAGATTTAGCGATCGGTCTTTGTTGAGTGCCTTCGTGGCGAGCAATTTACTCAGTTGTCGTCATTCTGTTGTAAGGAAATGGGCAAGTATTCGGGGCTGGAGCATACTCTAGTGTCTATTCACCTTCGGAATTGATCAGGATTGTACGAAGCGTGATTTTTGTCTACTTTTCATGCTTCTTGACTTTTGGCAACGTGAAATGTTTTTTTTCTCAGCCAAGTCGAGATGTTTATTTGCGGATTTCTTGATGGATAAGTGAAGGGTGAATTTGACCATAGCTGTACCGAGGTTTTTGTTATGATGGGTATTATTGCTTGAGGTTCGTTGTGCTCTATGATCGGCTTAGTTACCGTAAGCTCTGAAATGAATGACTTCACGTAAAATAAGCTATTTGCTTCAGCATTTAAGTACTGTAGACTGTGCAGTCCTTTTTGAATTATGCTTTCTCTGGACTAAGCATATTACGATCAGCAACCACTCTCGAAAATGTTGGACAGCCTGTCGTCAAGTCATTAAATCTTGGCATTTGGTGGCAAGCCTATCAGGAGGTGCGGTGTTATCCATGTCCGAACGAATAATGTACTTCCAATTAGTATGGAAATGCCAAGTTGTACGTTCGCAATCTAGAATGAATCAATGCTGATGCCCAAACTATTCGCTGATTTTGCCCCAATGAATGAATAATCTTTCATGGGCAAGTAGACGATTGGCTTTCACAATTTTGAAGGAAAGAGCTATGCCGATCACCCGAGTATATGGCTTCGTAAAGAGTTTTGAGTTGTCTCAGATTTATGGTCTAGGTACTATTTTTGAACATTCCTATTCATGTACAATCAGCGGTATCTCCACTTGGCAAACTGGTTGTTCTAATTGTCCGTCATATCTTTGGGTTGACAATTTTTGATAAAAAGGGTGGTCCAACAGTGCCAGTTTATATTCCCCGAACCGGGGTATGCGATAGATTTACCTCCACGTGGTGCACCCTGGGCAACGTATACTCATACGACAAAAAAGTCCATTAACTGGCAGTTGACTTCTCACTTCAAGCTACCATGACCCTACTGTATGCCATATTCGACCACTACCACAGTACTCACCTCTCTTTTTTTACCTTTGTGTTGGTCTGTCACTTTTACATCTGTAATTCATTCTTCTATCCCCCTCTCGACTTTTTCTCACTTTGAATTTTTCCCTTGTGTGAAGCCTGAAGTCAACTAAAGGGCTGATGATAACCATCAAAACGCCTGCCATTTGAAATAAATAAATATGGGAATACAAGTAGTCCTTGTGTTATTGAGAGTCTGGTTGATGATTGACTTAGAGACAATCTGAGAATTCCGCAACGAAACACCAACTCTGCAGCCTCGAGCATGGTTCCGTTGGCCTTCTACGACACTCTTTTGTTTGACTGGACACAAACAGTAGTCAGCTATCATTAATCTTGATATTTAAAATATTCCAAACTCAGTAATGGCTCCTCAATGGTAAATTCTCATATAAGGTCGCTCTCATTAGTAAATTGGAGTTGATTCTATATCACCTCCGTATCGTTCTTTCTGTTAGGTTGATTCTCACGACTTCTCGACGATATGTTACCAATTCTCAGATCAACCAGAATAAAATTGATAAAGTCGTTTTTACGATATAAATGCTTTTAAATATTCATTCAATGATCTTATAGATATTGTGATAAATCAAGGTTTAACGCGCACAAAGATGCACTCAAAACTAAGTTCAAAACTTTTTGAATTGCAAAATACCATTCCAATAAAGCTATTTCGATCTAATAAAAAAACGTTTCTTGCATTCACTTTGGGTACAGAGGTTACATCATAGAGTCTCATTTGTGGTACAATCGAATAATATCATCTCCTTAACTACCTAGAATGAGGTAAGGAGAATAGTGACGACAGCTGACTTGGATGTAAAGAAGATATTGTGGTGTTGTTCTGTTAAGAGACTCCAGTTTTACCATCCCCTTTGCTGACTAGAAGTAAAGCAGTGTGGTTAGCCATCCACCCCATTGGACGAACTCCGATGAACGGTAATCTCATAATCCCCACTTTGGTAGGCGTTCATGTGGGTGTGCGATAGGCATACCTCCCTGGGCAAAGTATACTCATACGGCAAAAAGTCCATAAACCGGCAGTTGACTTCTCACTTCAAACTACCATAACCCCACTGTATGCCATATTCCACCAGTTCCACAGCACTCACCTCACATTTTTCTCTACCTTAATATCTGTCTCTTACATCAGTGAATCACTCTTCTGTCCCCCTTCCCTCCTAATTTTTACCATTTGCTATGAATAAATAAATAGATGCTCACGTTATATTACCAGCAAGATTATTTAGTTTGCATTGAAGGTAATTCCTAAAGTCTCTAACCCATCAGCACTGCTCCCAATCTACTCTATTGGCTTAGTTCACAGAAGACGGCAGATCTTTTGACTTTAAAGTTTTATCAATTTCCCGTTATCCTCTTTCTAAATACTGGTTGGCTCATCTAATATCTGCATAGGAGTCATTAGCAGGCCGAGTGAATTCTACTGCCGTAAACACTTAAACTTGGAAATAAAATATTACCCTTGAGTCACCCCTTGTACAGAGAAGACTTGGCCGATGTGGTTAATCATCCACAGAACTTAATGCTGCAAGAGATACTTTACATGTCATGAGACTCATAGGCCCCATCAAATGACAAATTTCCCTTGATTACTCATCCGAAAGTCACCCCTGCTATCTATGACCTGAAATACGTGCAAATTGGTTATTTTTCACTCCTTTGTCTGTTTCTCTCCCCACCCATTTTCATTAATTTGGTACAGGCGACTTTTTTAACTCCACTTAAACCCTTGACCCTTCAACTATTCTTTCCTCTGGGTCATTGGGTGGATTCTTTGTTTTTTATAGTCGAAGTAAAACAAAACTGACCATAGTTGACTTGGTAGAAGTGAAGGCTATTTCCAAACATTTTCCGACAAGCTAAAGCTGAATTCCTAACCCTTGATCTACACCAAATACTGAAGGCAAATTGTTAACCTTAAAGCAAGTTGACTACAACCTGGAAACTAGGCTTGACGCACTCGCATTAGCGCCCCATATGTAAATTTTCAGGCCATCTTGGAACGCGAGCGTACTTGTGTCGTATTGCGCAACGCAACGCATTGCTATGCATCACAAACCATCACCCAACCACAGCTGTCTGACCAACGGCGGTGAACCAATCAGCATTGACCTCATTCCTCAGCCAAGTAGTAAGTCATGACTACTGTTGCTGCAGCCGCAAGTTACCTTGGCAGCGTGATGATTGGGAAATCGATTTTTTCTCTCTCGCTCTCTCGTTTACTCTCACTTTGATTCAATTCATATTGTAAGGGAAAAATGTGATCATCAAAAAACGAGGGAAATGGAAATAATCCTCAAAATATAGGTCATTCTTTTGGCCAGTATACGACAGCGTCTTAGATTATGTAAAAAATTAAAAGGAATTTTCAGAGGGGAGATGAGGCCTCGATTTTATTCACTATGGAAGGCAGAAAGCCATTCTAAGGGACTAAAGTTTGCTACTTCCTTTATCATGCAGAAAATCAATTAGCTTACTAAATTATCGATTTAAGTGATAGTACTCAGGAAAGACTTGATTGGAAGGCTAATAAAATTTAGATGCAGCAATCAGAGGAAAAGTTGATGGTGGTGAG